CATAATGAAAAACATCCATTACAGAAAATGGAATTCTATGTATAAGATATAATTATAAGTAGATTTATATCAATAAGATAAACAAAAAAGAAAGAACATCGGATCGCATCATCTCTGTCATAACTGTTTATCCTTCCTTATAAATAATACAGTAACTGTGAGATGCTCTTACCTGCCATAGTTGAAATGCCGAGGATCACTCCAATAGATAACTCGATCTGTGTGCCCTGGAAAACACACATATACACACACACACACACACACACACACACACACACACACACACACACACACATTACAGGAATCACTGAGTCCTTCAATAAGACAAACATCACTGCCAGCTAGTGTAGTGTTTGGGGCTATGATGTATGAACTATATATGTGTTCTTTCTCGATATACTTAATTGCATAATACAGAAATGTATTTTTCCAACTGTGACCTTTCAGCGATTTTTGTGTTTTCAGCGACTTATTCTGGACTATAAATAGACGGTTCATGATGCAATAACATTACATTCTTTGAATCCAAAATGCTGCAGTAAGGCTTTGTACACGAACCAGGACAAAACTTGATTTTCATTTATTATACAAGAAAAGATTAAAAGTAACATTACACAAGTTACAAAACTGGTTTACAGCAGGTTCCTGTTCTGCGGCACATAAAAAACAAAGACCAAATCACAACCAACAAATTGGTCCGTGGTAGCTTCCTACCTCCTAACGTCACATTAAAGCTTCAGAAATGTTAATAAAGAGCTTCAGGACTTTCAGCTGACGGTTTCCCCGCTTTAGTCGGGACCTTTTATCTGCTACAAAATGGAGAGCAGCATGAGATCTTCTGGTAGGGAGCACCCTATTCTCTTTGTAGACTGAATGAAAAAAAGGAAATGCTCTGAATGTGCGAGTCCAGTCAGACTGTTACAGTCACTGACTGTTAGAAATACTACTTCAGAAAAAGCAAAGAGCTGTTTCAGAGAGAAATTCATCCTCAAAGTGTGAGAATTTTTGATTTGCATACCTTTGAAGAATCTGTTTTTTACACATCAAAAGCATCAATTGATCTTGCAAAATATCTGCTCATTCTTACTTCTGTTGTATTGTTTATTGGGGAAAGCTTTTCGATATATTTTCCTGACGAACACTTGCCTTTCCACACAACAAACTTTGTATGTTACAGGACAGTCAACTATTTATTAGCTATTTGACGTCTGCCCCTGTTGTTGAAGAGCACCTGAGCACTCCTCTACATTCTTTGCAGCACTCGCTTCAACCTTGTTTTCCCTTTTGAAATGACGTCTTATTTAGCTTTATTCCCTCTTGTTTGTTTCTTCAGTGTATTTTTTCTCACTCTATACTTGTAATATGCCACGATTCTTGTCGAGGTCCAAAATAATTCATCATCTCTGCGTTAAAAATGACACTGCTTTGCAAGCACTCTTTGAATTATGCTAATAGTTGCATGCTCTTCCACTGGGTTTTAATTTTAGTATGTGGAATACTTCACAGCGCTTCTACAAAGAGCGTGGTGTGCCAGCGGCAAGCAAATGATTGCAACTGTACGAGATGTTAAAGACAAAAGAGAAAAAGAAGAAGGACTCTCAGAAACAGACTTTAAACATTGATGTAGAGCTGGTGTGAAATATACTGACTGACTTAAACAGTAAGATGAATCTCGCTCTTTCTGCCATGTTGCTTCCACCATACAGACCCATGGGTACAAACATTGTATCATCTTTACACGGACTAATTCTGTGAGTCTGAACTGCGTGAAGTCGACACACTTACAGCGAGGATCATGATGCAGTTGTCCAGGAATCCAAATCCAACGAAAGGGAGTGCGTTGTGCAGCAGAACTGTGAAATAACAAATAAAACAATATATGAGGAACACACGCAGAATGATCACATGAGCCTGGTGAAGCAGAAGTGTAACAGAATAAACAGAAGATACAATATAAGGTTTTAAAACAGGTGTCAGCTCAAAGGTAAACTGATACAGTGAGGCTGCTGTCGGGGGATGCTGATATACATAAAAAGAGGATTATAACTTTTCTATTCATGCGTGTTTTTAAAAATACTGCTATAAAGATAAGAACATCAGCAACTGAAGTGACACAGCAAACAAGAGTGAATCTGATCCCAAACACCAGAAAGAAGGGAAAGCTTCCCTAGATTAATGTTAAAGAGGATATATTTAACAATATATTCTAATCCCACTTTTATGAAATGTTAGCCATGCTGAGTTAACAGTTTGTATTCTCTGGTGTATTTAAAGCATTATATTGTCTCAGTTGTGTAATGATTTACTTTGTTTCCACTTTGTTAAGAGGATGAAGCAAAGATTTACAGACTGATGAATTTGTAACGTATCAGTCCATACTAACAACTTGTTGATGTGTTGTTTCTAAAGCCCAGTCAAGGCCATCTGCAAAACATGTACCAGCACATCTTTCCCTAAACTGGGTTTTGTCTAGTTTATTTGAAAAAGGTTTAGGTTAAATATTGGCCTTTTGCAGAAATACAATCAAATATCAAGCAGCTCCAACCAGTAAAACGGCATAAGACTGTATATATTTCTCCACACAGTAATGAATTTATCACTTTGCATAAATAGATGCAATGTTTGTAGACTCGATATTGTGTATAATGGATTTTTAAAACAGTATTTTAAATGTCGCCCACCACTGCCCCGGGGATAATGTTTTTCTAGTAGAAGTTCAAGTGAAGTTCAGTCTAGTTCAAGTCATTTAAAGTGTTTGCTCAAAGCACAACTGGAAAAAAAAGTAAGCTGTAATTTCTTCTCTGGAGCTCCTCTTCTTCTTCTGCTGCTCTCCTACAGTACAGATTCATAGTTCGAGCTTGCTGTTTGAGCCTCAGCACACAAAGCACTCACTCGTGTCTTCAGCACAGACTTTAATGTCTTCAGGAGCCGCTCTGACTGAACTGTGAAGAAAACTCCATCTCATAGCAAACCTGCTGTACAACTAAATCCTGAGGTTTGTTTTGGATATTTCACAGCAGAAAACACAATCTATCACACAAGAGTGAAAAGCATCAACTCTGCTTCAGATAAGAATAATATACATTAATATACTGTTTGCCTCCGGTGTCTCAGTGTTTTCTCACTGAGAGCATCATTGACAAGTGCAATTGAGAGACGACTGGCTATGTGACACTTCGTCTTCACGTCCAGCATAGTTTTTATCGACTTTCACGACAGGGATTACCAAGAACCCCAATTTTTAATTTCCCAATCATCACTCCTTATCTGTCCTGGACTCGGCTGTTTAAAACCACATTAACCTGCCTAACACATTAAAACCCTCGAGGACAAAATGTCTTTCGAGTCTTCTTATCCAACATAAGAAGGAGGAAAATTTAAAACGGCTTCTCTGGCTTTTATTTCTTCATTTTTGTACATTCTGAATACAATATTCATTGTAGAGCTGTTTGGAGGATGTGTTTAGTTAAAGTGGGTACATTTCATTATGATCTTATCACTTTACTTTTATCTTCAGACTCATTTTATCAACATGAGGACAAACGTTGCTTCTTTATTTTACACCGCAGTGAACTACAGAGAACTTTGCAGATTTTTAATTTAACATTTTGCTCACGTCACATTTTAACTACTTTATCCGCATTAACGGAATACGCATTCAGAGGTCCATGGATTGAATTGAAATCACGAACAGTATTTTCCTTTGATTGAGCCGAGCAAATAAGAGCAGGGTTGAGACATTTATTCTGTAAACTTCAGCTCCAGTATACATAAAGAAAGAGCTTGAAGCATTTAATTAGTTTTTAAGCTTATATAGTGGTGTCAAGAAATGGTTTTGCAGTAACCATAATCCACTGAACACTGAGAAGGAGAAAAGGAAAGAAAAAAGTACATCCAACACTGAGACAATTCTGTCATGAGAAACATCTTAAGTGCTGGTTAGGTTTCACTCTGCAATGTTTTCTTAAGTGAAAAGCAAGAAAGACTGCATTTCATCACAACAAGGTAACACTGAGCTTCAGAGAGATATTGTCCTTGTAGTTGTTCATTTTCATAAAGACGTCTCTGTTTAAATTTATGCTGAGAAAACAAAGAGTGAAAACACAAGTATCCTGAACAATTTTGGGTTCACCAGCAATCTTTCCAAGCTCTCAGTAGGAGAGAGGAGGACAAAAATCTGAGGTCAGGTCAGTAAAAAGATCTCTGCAGGGTGAAGTACACCTGCATTCACTTTTAGCTGAGTGTGTGCAGGTGGATGACACATGTCTGAGGGCAAGAGCTTTCACTGGGACTGAGAAATGATCTGCAAAACACTGTTACATGATTGGGATTTCATACATGGCCCCTTTAAAAATAGAAATTAAAGAAATGAATTCTCATTCCTAACTCACATAAAAAGCAAAGAGCAACAAACTTCATGTGGAATACATTTTCAAACATGTCTGAAAGTAAATATCACAGTTTCTTTTATTTGTCTTTTCCCCTCTTTGCTTTGTGTGCTTATTCAGTATGTCTTAAACCAACTGTTGTGGTCATTTGGAGTTCCACTTCAGCATTTTACATTCACTATGCTAATGTTTTGTCATTTTTACATCTTGAGGTTTAAAATCATGACCCAAATCAGTTCTAGATATTCTTTTGCCCCAAGACAATATACATGAAGTTCATCAGTGTAAGCTAATGAGTCATATCAAACATAAGTACTATACAATAAACCCGCTAATATGTGAATATGAATAGGTTCAAAATAGCTGCAGACACAGTGCATGCTGGTGTATCATATCCTTTTAGCACTTAAATGACTGCCTGCCTGTGGATGTGTCTTATGTTCTGCTTGTTGTTACTGACTCTTAAGCATAACCTGGAACATAATATAAAGGTGAAATATTGTGTGTTTTGTATCATAGAGTGACTTTTAACAGCTTATCATCACTAATATCTGCCTGTATATTATCCACAAACCTTGTCTTGCATCATAAAGAGCTACTTCCGTCTTTGGCAACCAACTTGAGACTTTAGGGGGAAAGGCTTATGCAACATCTGCTCATGGAAAATTGAACAGTCAGGCTCATATGTGAGACTTTTTCTTTTCCTTTCAGGACACTATGGAAACTTAGGCATCAATAAGCCACAATGTCTTGCTAATTTGTTCTCCTCCGAACCAAGCCTCCAAACAAAAGCAATAAAATACACATGAAAACACAGACTTATTACATCATATCAACCAAGATTACCAAACATTTGACTTCTTACCATATCTTAACTGTGCTGCAGTGGGCGGTGCAATCTCCAGCTGCCCTAAAAAAGAAGAAGAGAAAACCAAACATTATAAAAAAATCTTCATCTCCTATGGTCTGCTTTTCAGTGGAGGCTAAAAGTCACAATAAATGTCAGACGGCTCTTAAATGGCACAGCCCATCAGTCACAACCTTTTAAATACAGAGAAAAGAGAGAGAAAAGAGGGGAGAGAGAGAGAGAGATAGAAAACGTTTCAGCAATGTGTCATGAGTGATGAGGAGGTGTCAGAGAGGAGGAAAGATTTTCTCCCCTGGTGGAACCTCCCCTGAGCAAAACAGAGATGAGCACAAAAGTGACGCAAATGATAAGTCTGCTGCCAGTTAGGCTGCAGAAGAGGCCTGCAGTGTGTGTGTGTGTGTGTGTGTGTGTGTGTGTGTGTGTGTGTGTGTGTGTGGGTGTGACATTTATTTTTTCTATCCCCACACTTAAAGTGATAAATTCATTTGACATATCAGTGATGAAAATAAAGTGACTTCACTGAGATTTATTAATAACTTTTCCCCATTTCTCACTTGAGTTAAGGGTCATATATGAAGTTAAGGGGCTATGACATTTTCCTGCAATGAAGGGTGGTGGAAAGAATACGTGTCAGCCTGCATGTGCCACATTAAAGCAACACTCACTATATCACTGATTTAATCAGGGACTTGGAGAAAGAAAAACAAGTAATATACTTTGATTTTAAGGACAGAAGTCACGATTGTTTCCTTTGCAAGAAGTGTGAAATTAGTCTTGTTTTACTGAGGTCAGTAACAATGTTAGACCACATCGTGAAGTCTGCTCCATCAGTTACAGGTGTTAAAGCAGCACTGCACGCTAAACCAGGCTGAAACAGATTGTGCATGCTGATGAGGAAGTTGTATTCAATCCAAGCAGAGTCTGTCTTCACTGTTATCAACCATAGAAGTAAAAAGGACAACATGACAGCTCCCCTAAAGGGAAGCCAAAACATTCTGAGCTCCTCCTACTGACTGACTGACTGACTGACTGACTGACTGCAGTAAAGCTCATGATGTCCACCTCCTCCATGTTAACAGATAGGACATCAGTCAAACTAGAAAATCAATATACATGTCGAGTGTTTGCTTTCTTTGAAGTAACATTTGAATTATTTATTCATGCTATACAAAGATGTAAGATGCAATGATTGACATCTATCTTGACAAATGCAGCCCCTGCTGTATGCGCAGGATTAGCAGAAAATGGGGCAAAACGAGAGAAAACTTAACAAACACTAACACAAGAATTATTTAACTTTTCAAAACCAGGAGGGTCTGCTTCTGAAGACTGTGAGGACCTGAAGGATGAAGTGTGTGTTTTTGTTACCTGAAGGGGCAGAACTTCAATACTGAGACAGTCAAGGGGGTATTTTGGCTTCACTTTTGTACAACAAGTGGAGGTGGAGATGTGTCATCCATCTCCATGTACAGTCAGTTCTACCAACCCCCAGGCACACATGCATTCATACAAAGATGCCTACAAACAAAAATGTGAAACTCCCACCCCCACAACTCCCAATAAGCTTGCTTTATATGAAATAAAATGCCAAAATCCTAATATGGTTTGTGGGAGAAAAGCTATTTCTGCCAAGTTCAGACTTGGAAATTAACCAGCTTTTTAAAATGACATGCTTTATATTTAATCTTAAATACACTGCTATTGCTTTACATAAACTTAAACATTGCTATTTGGCTAACCTTTTCACTTTATAATGCTAGATTCAAACTGTAATATCACAAAGTTCAAAAGAAAAAGAAACCCAAAGCAGAAAATATGCCAGCTTTTTCCATCCTGTTGGCTCTCCCCACCTATTTCCATCCCTCACTTCCTCCTTTTCTTTCAGGACTCGGTGTCATGTTTCAAGCTCATTACTCCAGTCCGCAGTTCAACCAGCATCTCATGTTGCGGACAAAACCGCAACAGACAATTGTTCCCCTCAATTCTATTCCTTTCATCAGTGCTCCAGAAAACCCCACTGCTGACACGTTCACAGGGATGCACGCACAGCAACATTACTGTTTGTTTATCATTAGTTCTCACACAGGCCTGTCATTGACTCCAGCCACTGCAGCACCTTGTATACATTTATCTCATTTCACAGGTATTAAAAATCCTCTCAGCTAAAGAGACAAAAAATATCAAACTATAAGACAAGAACAAGCTGGCAGACATGAAAAAACTCCCACACAAGATGGGTGGTGTGAGTAATTTAGTACAGGAACACAGTGCTTTCTGTTTCATCACCCATTCAGGAGTGATTAAGGCTTTAATTAAAGAGCTTTCAATGATTCTCCTGTGCTGCTCTGTGAGCGAAGTAAACTACTGCACCAATTAATCTCATCTACCATTGAAACAAATACTCTGTGAGATAACATGACAGTTATATGTCACTAACCAGTATGCCATGGTTCAACAAACATATATATGTTAGTTTTATTTTTATCAAAAGTGTTGCAGCACATGAATCCATTTGCTGCTCTTGCCACTCTATGGCTATGTTGTGCAATCACAACCTTAAAGAGATGGAATAATATAAGGAATGGAGGGCAAAGAAGCTGGTGAGCAGTAAAAATGAACCTGGATAAATTAAAAAACTATTTCTGTTAACTTTGGCGAAAGTATGAAAAAAAAACCTCCTGCTCTTTTCCATTGAATCATGATCCAAGTTGCTCCTGGATTTATCGTAGTCACTCAAGTTTTTTTTATCCTTACAAGCCTTTTCTTGGATCAACAGGAAAACATCCAACATCCAGGCAAAAAACTGAAATACATAACTGGAATAACATCAGGTTGTTTAATAGGAAGTAAAACATGTATACTTACAGCCTTCTATGAAACTGAAAAGGTTAATGTTATATTACATAAAGTGACAACATATTGTCTTAACTTCAGGGCTGTATATTAATACTGGTTTTATTAAGAGGTCACATTTAAGATTAAAGCTATTAATTGCTCCAACTGTGTTTCTTCTAAAACTGATGGCTGTTATAATATATATTATTTTATGTCTGCATAGTTAAAAACAATTAAAAGGACGGATCATTATTTTTTTAATAGAATTTTTGGTCTCAAAAACGTTCCCTTACACTGCAGATAATGCAAACAATGCTACAATGCAGGCCTGTAATCCATCTGAAATAATTGTAACACAAATCTGTTCCATTTGGATATGACAGAAACAATGAAATACATCATTGTTGCCAAAATTAAAAGCCTACACTGCTGCATTCTCCTATCACTTAAAAAGTGATGTGGCAAAGCAAAAATGCAGCTGATCCAAACTCAAATGAAATAAAAAAAAAACTAATTATGAGAAACAGAATGCCTTGAAGATTTTTCATTCCCAAACCAGAGGGGTTTATGTAGCCATTCATTCGAGCTGTTATAGCTGACATGGCTTCCTATTGGCCCCAGAACTCCTGAGGGAGAAAGTATTGATTGCATGGCAACCCAAAATCTCCCAGAGCTGCAGTCTCCAGAGAATTCAATTTCAAACAGACAGGAGTGGGGATAACATGTAATGAGCTTAGAGAAGTACCTAACCACGAGCATGGTTAAATACCAAAGCAGTCATGTTTCATTCCTCTAAAGCCTTCCTTTATGTTGTGTCCTGCAGAAAAACCAGTACAGCAAGTTCTGGCATTTAACCAAGACTGCGTTTACAGATAAACACAAAAACCAATATGTCATCATTTTGGGCACAGATCTTGAATAATTACTGCAGAGTCAGCGACGCCAATTCTCTGAAGCAAACAGCCAAAACACTTACAAAATACTGTGGATCAAATGTCATTTAAAAAAGAAAGCTAAAGTTGCAAAGAAAACAGACAAACCATGCTGAATGTTGGCAGCATTTTGACCCAAGCCAAGTTAACAGTCTGGTTCAGCACAGTTATATTGTTCCATCCATGGATCCATTATCTATACCGCTTTCCCATTAGGGGTCGCAGGGGGCTGGAGCCGATCCCGGCTGCCATTGGGCGACAATAGAGACAGACAATCAGACACATTCACACCTGCGGCCAGTCACCAATGGCCCTAACGAGCAAGTCTTTGGACTGTGGGAAGAAGCCGGAGTACCTGGAAAGAATCCACGCATGAACAAGGAGAACACACAGACTCCACACAGACAGGCCCGGTCCGATGGGGATTCAAAACAGGAACTTCCTCGCTGTGGTTAGAGCTATCTTAGCAGTCTGAATATTTATGAATGTGTGTTTGATCAAGTATCATTTGGCGTCTCAGGCGTTTGTTGTGGCCATGGATGAAAAAGGGATCATGTTGTCTTTGTTTACTGTGATTAATGGCTTGTTCAACTTTCTGCTTCTTGTTTCTGGGCCAGCATGAAATCGATAATTAAACACAGAATTTGAAAATCTGAAATGAGGAGGAAGGAACCCAGAAGTAAAGGTCTTGCTCAGCTATTGCTAAGTTATGATGAATAATATCTGTCAGTCTACTTAATAGAATGATTTATAGACGCCATGAGATTTTCTGCTGATTCAGGTGTTTTTGTGTTACAGGGGTGCAAACCTCAAAAAGATGTGGGGGAACTTTTATCACAGGACCATGCAGCAGTGCATTACGGTTTCTGTGTGTGTGTGTGTGTGTGTGTGTGTGTGTGTGTGTGTGTGTGTGTGTGTGTGTGTGTGTGTGTGTGTGTGTGTGTGTGTGTGTGTGTGTGTGTGTGTGTGTGTGTGTGTGTGTGTGTGTGTGTGTGTGAGAGAATGAGAATCTCTTCACACAGAAAGAGATTCTCATTTTTGCAATGTGCTTTCATCCGACTGTAGTGTTAAGGGTAGACAGCCTGTATATATGTCTAATAATATGCTAATCTGTAGGAATCTGTGTACTCATATACAGACACATTTTGTGTCTTCAGATTGAGCAGGCACATGTGCTGGTGTGTGAGATCAAAAGAGTTCATCTGCAGGGAAACAATAGAGGGCTATAGTCATTTATCTAGTGTGCAGCACCTTGGTATTTTATGATTTATGACACAAAGAGGACATCAGACTGCACACAGAAAGTGGGATACAGTCTTTTTTTGTAGCAGCAAGTTTTTGAAAACGCACAGTTGAATGATTTTGTCTTAGGGTGATTGAGTTTGGAGAGAAAACTTGTGGAAATTAATTGAAAAAGAACAATTCAATAAAAAGCAATTAATAGTCAGTTAAGTATTTCTGCATCCAGTTTTCTTGGATTCATTCTTTGAGTCTGTACATCAATACAACTTGGGAAAGTTAACTAAAAGCGAATGATTTGCATATAAAAGTGTTTTTGAAGGGAAACTTTTTTCTTCAATAACATGCCTACTGGAGGGCTTCTAAATGTCAAGTCACAACTCAAAATACGTTTTCTTCCCTCAGGGAAAATAATGAGTAGCTCTTTCTTTGGAAATGCATAACTAACTAGACAGAACAAGAAGAAAAAACAAAGCACTGGGGCATGACACCACATAAACTGAAGCGTAACAGTGTAGTTAAATTTCAGCAAAGAAGTTCCTTCCTGTGGGGTTTAAAAAAACTTGGCAGGATATGACAGGTAGACATATACACCAGTCTTTTCCTCCAGTGCCAATTAAGGCAGCTGTGGAGAGCTTGAAACTAAACCCAGAAACAGACTGAAAACACAAATCCTTTAAATATCCTCCTGACTAATGACGAACCACAAGAGAACAGAAGGAAAGAAGAAAGCATCGCTCTCTATCTATCGGCCAACAGAAACAAAGGACCATGCAAGGAAGACAAGGGAAGTATTTTTAATGAAGTAGTGGGCTGCAAGAAATGGCTGGATGGTTTATAATGACTTCCCCTGCATGTAACACTATAAAAAGATATAACCCTGTTGGCTACTGTAAATTGTGCATTAATGGCTAAGACCAATAACAACATGACATTTTATATTTTTTACAAAAAACTATTTATAGTATAGTAAATTCTCTACACAATTTATGTGCCATGCCTTGAGTTGTTTTCTATTCTTTCTGAGGTAATCTGAGTTAATTACTCACACCTGGCCTCCTTAATATCAATTAGTCATTGATTAGAAACCCCACCTCACCAGTGGAACACACAGAAACAGATGAACATGTGTTTTCACTGATTCACCTATTTAAATCCCTGTTTGGGGTGAGGACAGAACATATTCAAACGTTTGCCTTTGTTTGTTGTTGCACAAATTCAGGTATACTGCATGTAACTGTACACAACAGCACAGGCAGTGAAAAAATGCTGTAATAGTGTGGCAGTGCCACAAACTAATCTCAGCTAATATGAGCAGCATGCAGAGAGGAAGGATCTACTAAATATTTGCGGATGTTTTCAGGGTCAATGCAGTACAATTTCCTAGAGGGTTCTGGCATTATAAAAGATGTTGACCATACTGGCGGCATGTTGCATATCATTCAGACAAGCCATTGATTTACAATTAGCTGGATTCTTTCTCCTAACTTGAATATTGGAAGGCAGACTGATACAAAATAAGCCAGGATGTATTTATTTTAGGAAAGTTATTCAACTAAGCAGCTTATCAAGTATTTAACCACATAAGACCTAGAGGACAAACACTGCAGTAAGAACATGCCTGCAGAATGTTTTTAACCTTAACATCAACCACAGAGTGCTGACTTTGGTCATGTGGGTCTGCAGTGAAATCAGCTGCCATCATGACTGTGCAGCAAAGTCAGCTACAGAAGCCTCTGAGGGACATAAAACCAAGGAGAAAACCGGGAGGAATGACGTGTAGTATGTTGAGGTAAATCTGATGTAAGTGTGGAGGGGGTTGGAGACGGAGTAAGAGTGGGATAGATAAACATAGAAACAACACATGTGACAAATATGACACAACAGAGCAGAAGAATCATGTAAAAAAAAGAGGTGACAAAAAAGTGAGTGTGTGTTTTCATCAAAGGTTATATGAGAAAAGAAAAAAAGAAAGAAAAGAAAATCATCAATCCCTGTCTCATGATTATTCTAAAGGTCATGACCTCATGACAAACTGGACGGGCTCACACATACAAACCCCACCTTGAATATCAAACATCCCACTGTGCATAATATTTTCATGGCCGTCTGTCGTGCCTGTGTAATGTGATTCATGCCTGGATCCATCTGTTTGGGAGATAAGAAGCATACGTAGTTTTCCTGCTCACTTTCATACCCTCTGGATTAAGTTTTCTTTTATTAATCTTAACTTTGGGACTTTAACTTTTAGTGGTGTTAACACCCTATTAAACACTATAGTTTTCACACTTATCAATTGAAAGGTTGGGCCTTATTATCATGCCTTTCTAAATCCAGAAAAATCAACAACCAGGGGTTATAGAAATGGGACCTGTAGGGTATTCTGCACTAACATAATGCCTGGCTAACTTGCTAATTTCATTACTAGCAATAAATCTACATACATCATAGATTGGGCAGCATCTCCAGCATATTGTAGTGTTACATGTTACAAAAAAAAAAACTGTTTGCAATACATATTCCAGTGTTTCCGTGTTGTAGTATTTCCCACGCATGCTGTTGAGTCCTGGATGGAACCATATTGTAGGCTAACATTAGCATTATAATTGTCCTCTGACCTGAATAACCTTATAAAGCTCTCATGGTTGTAGAAAAACACAGAGGAGGACCAACTTGCAGATAGACTTAAAACTAATTTCATTAAAACAGTCAAAAGGAAAATAAAAGCTTGCAGATTCCAATTCATGGTGTAATAAAAACCAGGTGTGACTAATAAGACAGGTGAAACTGATGAGGGCAATCAAACTGGAGGGAAACACACAAACACACACACACACACACACACACACACACACACACACACACACACACACACACACAAGGGCAGGATGTCAAACTAGATATGAAACACTGGGGGAAGAACTACAAAATAAAACAGGAAACACTGAAGACCGAAAGAAATAACTGTAACAACAAACACAAGAGAAGGAAAAGACCAAATAAAACAGGAAGTGATATCAGATTAGTAAAAATACAAAACTAAACTGGAAACTCAAGACAAAAGTGTGACCTGTTTTTCTTGTGTTGTTGTATAGTGTGAAGCGTTAATATGTATGGGGAGGATGTTTGCAGGCTGCAAAGGTAACACGATCTGCAAAACTTAGTTGGCTTACTTTGCTAGTAACAGCGAATAAAATATGTTCTTTCCTTTGTCAGGTTTGGACTTTCAGCTGGAAAAGTAGTTTCTTTCAAAAAATTGGCATCCTTGTTTTTAAATTCCTCGGTTGAAACTGTTTCATAAACTTTGAGAAGTTAAAATTAGAGAAGCTGGGCCACGGTGTGTGGATAACTAATGGATTTTTGATCAAAAACATATCATAGAAGGTATCCTTTATATGGCAACACAACAGCAGGACTGATGGTTAAAAGCAATTTGATAAGAATTGAAGACAGATTGACAGTAAAGTGTGACAGCCTTAGTCTCTAGTACTTTGGCATGATGATTTGTTTTGCAATGGAAAATTAAAGCTCTTATTCCAAATAGTATAATGACTTCTGGATTTAAAAAGAGAATCTGGGTGTTTACCATGTGACACACCACCATTTCTCCACATTTTTGCGTTTGTGAGATCTCTCTGTACTCTTTAAATTGTTTTCAACATTTAAGTAGTGGATTGTATCACACTATTTTTTTTGGGGGGGGGGGGTCACAGGCAGAATAAGTTAATAACCCACTCAATTGACAAAAGTCCAAAATCTCCTCAGCAATATTCTGTCTGTATACTGTTCAGCTATTATTGGCTGCAGCTCTGTCGTTGGAAGCAAACTGCTCTTGATGAATACACATGCTGTGTTATTCCTGTCTGTGTGTTTCTTTCTGTACACAAATCAACAGTAAAATGTCAACAACGCCCACAGGACAGCAACACAACCTACTACCTGGCAATGATATGAACTGTTGATTTCTAGA